TTCATTTGTTTTTAAAGCACAGAACCAAAAAACAGGAAACTTTGACCTCATCAGTGCTGTTCATTTAAAGCACTGTTATACCATGGCTTCCCCCCAAAACTCCTGCCAACTGTAGTTTGCTAAGGGTGCTGAGAGCTCTTAGGAAACCCCTATTTCCCTCACGGTACTACAGTTCCAGAGTTCCCTGGAAAGAAAGATTGGTAATCCACTTTGCAAATTGCAGCTGCAGTATGTACATGTATCCAACCGTCCAGTCAGTGCAAGGATTTATGCTTCAGCAACAGGACTCCCCTCTCCCCAAATCTGCTCTGGATGGCTGGAGAAGTCCGAGAAGAGATTTAGGGGGATCATGGGAGGAGGAAAGTCGCATTGCGTGAGTGCAAATTCTTGCGCTAACAGGACAGTTACTTAATCTCATATTGAATATAAGCCAAAGACTTCCTTTCGCCATCTGCAGTCTCAATGAAAATGCCTCCTGCTGCTCTAATCTTAGAAATTAGTGCTCGTGATCCCATTAGGAGCTCTTTTTCCTAATGCTAATAGTGGTGGGAGTGGGAGAGGAAAAAAAGAATTTTTTTTTTTGCCAGAATTGGCAGCTGGGGTGGAGAGGGAAGGATTATTCTCTCTCCCCCTATGGTTTCCGTGAAAACCACCCATTCCTATTCTTATCCAAATAAAGAGACCCCTGATGTAGAGGCCAATGTCACATTTAGTATCATGTCTAATTTGACTCCCAGACAGGCGGGAGCAGATGAGCCTTTGGTGGAAGGATGCACTCAAGTTTTCACAGGCGGATACAACTTGCGCTCCTCTCTCATGTCAGGAGCGCAGGGCAGCTCATTAAGATGGCTTTGTTTTGAAAAACCAGGCATGCTAAATTGGCAGATCCCTACAAGTTCAATTCATTACTCCAAAAGGCAATCATTCTCAGTCTATTCAGTCTATTCAGGGTAGCATAATACAGGCGTTTATACACTGCCGAAAAAGTTATTTGTACTGATTTGGGATTCATTATGAAGTGTTGTGTAGCCTACAACAATACTGATTGTGGTTTTCAGCCCTCACAGTGGAGTGGTGGGGGGAAAGAGAGAAATACACTTTCTTAGAAGGAGCAATGAGTAAAGCAAGCAAAACCAAGCCTTGGGTAGGGCTACTGGTAGTCGGTCTTTGGCTCCTACATGTTGCATAGCCTTCCATTTATCATGACAAGAAAAGCATTGTGCTATAGGCTTGGCATAATTGTGCATCTGCCAGAGGGGTTAAAGCAGGATGGGGAGACAGACCGTCATATGATCAATGTGCTTGCAGTTGAATACTGTATACAGTGGTACCTCTGGCTGCGAACGGGATCCGTTCCGGAGCCCTGTTTGCAACATGAGCAGAATGCAACCCGCGTCTGAGCGTCTCGCCGCTTCTGTGCATGCATGTGACGCCATTTTGAGCGTCTGCGCATGAGTAAGCAGCGAAACCCAGAAGTAACCCGTTCTGTTACTCCCGGGTTGCCGCGGGTCATGTCCTGAGAGAATGCAACCTGAACCAAACATAACAAGAGGTATGACTGTATCTGATTTTGCTCAACTTCCTTGCTCTACTGAGAATCAGAAATGTTTTCCCATTTGAATAGGATGTTAAAATGCTAAAATCGAATCATATGGAGATCTAAAAGCATGCACAAACTATGTATGGACCAGACCAGTTTATTCTACATATTAGTATGACTGTACTAATAAAATTAGTTCAATATTTAAGTATCAGCCTTGTGCACAGTCTGGCAGTTGTTGTTTTTTAAATCTGTGCTAAATGAACATTGATGCTTCTCTGTAACAAAGGGTTTCTGCAACCATCTGCAGGCATGATTACCCTCGAGTCCATTGCGAATTGATGGATTGCTGTCTAATGAGAGAAGGTCCTCCGCCTTAAATCACAAAAAGAGTAAGAAACGAGGAACCATTTCCAATCCCAGGTTGCTGCGAATAAAAGCAATTGGAAAAGGAAAAGCTCAAATCCACAAGAAAATATCAAGAGGAGGTACAATACAACATGAACATAATTATTCTAGTATTTTGATAAAAAAAATTAGACCCTCCCATGAACATTATTATACCATGCTGGCCCTCCTTCCCTCTAGAGTAGTATTACATCTGAGTTCGAAATCAAACAAAGGCATCATAGAAATTTCTCTGTGAAGAAATCAAGTGCATTTTTCTGTTACAAAACAAGCTGATTAATGTATTGTTGGTGCAGTCCCTAAGCCTGCAGTGCCAAACATCTCTTGCAATGGAATACTTAGCAATGCACACACTAAGAATTATATGTGCTACTTATACAGGGATGGTTGTTTGATGAGTGAAAGATTTGCTCAGTTGACTGCCCTTTTTTTTTAAAAGGATCATTGTTACGACAACAAAGAAGAGAGTAATCGACAGGTTTGGTACCTGATAACTACAAAATATGAATCAGGCAAGATCACTTTGCCAAAAAGCTAACTTTAGCCAATTACAGTCGTACCTCGTGTTATGTACTTAATCCGTTCCAGAGGTCTGTTCGTAACAGGAAACAGCTCATAACATGAGGCGTGCTATCTCTAATGGCGCCTCCTGCTGCTGCCGCGCCGCCGGAGCGTGACTTCTGCTCGCATCCCAGGACAAAGGTTGCAAAAAGGGGCATCTACTTCCGGGTTAGTGGAGTGTGTAATCCACAGCATTCATAAGGGGGAACGATACGTAACAGTGTACTAAAACCAGACATATGCACACAGGAAAAACCTTAGGATGGCAAACATACATAGCTGTCTTGTGTTTTACCCTCACAAACACCATGTGAAATACAGTACTGGGTATTTGAAACCCGAGTCCCTCGGTTCATAGCACATCTTATCCACTTAAATATTTATTTACTTGATGCACATGTACTTAATTTATGAAACTTTTAAGGATGGATCTCACACAAATTATTCCATTCTAGCATTACACCTGAGCCAGCAGAAATTCCAAGGAAGGTGTTATCTATTTATATGAATGTTATTATGAACACTAAACTTCACACTGTCTTGGGCATTTGGATGTGCTGGAACACAATGTTGTTCTTCTATCCACTTGTAGTGTGATGAAAGCCTGTAACATTACAATGAACATCTGAATAGCTAACAGGTCCTAACATACATTTCGATAGCAATTTGCCCTCCTTCAGAATTTGATCTCCTAGAATTTGATCTCTCAAAATTCAATGGCTCTGTTGAAGCTATTATAGTATTGAATGAAGGATACTAGTGCTAAGAAGGCTGTTAAAAGGCACTAAATTTAAATATTCGGCAAGCCTGGTTATTGAACAAGTTTCCCATTCTAATTACAGCTGTTTGAGACAGCAATTCTGAAATTCCTCACTAAATCAAGCTGATCCCATTTCTCTCCAAATGCAAGCCCTTCTTCAATGCTAGTAAATCCAAACCGCTAATCCTGGTTTCAAATCAGTTTTAGATCACTTTAATGGGATAGATGGGATGCGCAGGAGAAATCACACTTTTCAAGCATGTATGGGAGGGGTGGAGAGAAAAAACTAAACATATGAGAAAGCTTAAATATACTACCTCAGTATAGTGTTCCTTTATTAAATTTAAAATAAGAACAGCCAATGAAATTTCACACCTCAAGCCGAGTAACTAAAAATGGAATTGGAAGAAAATTGCTTCACACAGAGAAGTTTCAATGTCTTCTTCAGTTCAAAAAGAACAGGTAAGCTTTAAAACTGGAGACATTCCCAGGCATACGTCTTCTATTCCTAGCCTTCCAGTGTTGGGCAGGAAGGTCTGATGAGAGCTTCTAAAAGCAGTTGCCTAGACACATTTAAGAGCTCCCTTGCAATTAGGAGTCTGGATGATGCCGGGTACTTGGATCGTAGGGAGGCTTCTAAGTGTGTCGGGCTGAATGCACTTCTTCAGATCTTCCAACTCAATGAAGAAAGGTGAGGAGTGAAGTAAGTATGCCTGAAAACCTAAGGTAGGGAAGGGGATGCATGCACCTCCATCCACCTTTCCAGTCTAAACTTTCACACATTCTTTTTGAATGCTTGGAGACGGCTTCTATTGGAAGGATTTTCTTTGGACAGTTTCCATCAAGGCTTGCACATAAATGCTGGCAGATCTCTTAGTAGAGGATCGGGGAACCTTTTTCATAGAATCGTAATAGAACTGTAGAGTGGGAAGGGACCAAGAGGGTCATCTAGACCAGCCTGCTGCAATGCAGGAATTTTTTGTCCGTGAGTCTTGAACCCATGACCCTGAGATAAAGAGTCTCATGCTCTACCACAGGCATAGGCAAACTTGGCCCTCCAGATGTTTTGGGACTACAATTGCCATCATCCCTGACCACTGGTCCTGTTAGCAAGGGATCATGGGAATTGTAGTTCCAAAACATCTGGAGGGCCGAGTTTGCCTATGCCTGCTCTACCATCTAGCATGACACTCCAGGGAGATTTCCCATGGGAAAATCTCAGGTATTGCGGCTCAGGACAGTAATACCTCAAGGACTGCCTCTTTCCATATGAACCTACCCAGACTCTGAGATCATCTTCTGAGGCCCTCCTTCATGTGCTTCCGCCTCAATATATAAATTCAATAAATAAATAAAATGTAGGAAATCTTCCTGGGACCTCATACCAGTGGTGAGCAGGGTTGGAGATACTCCAATCTCTCTCTCTCTCACACACACACCCTCCATTTCTCTCTTCCCTTTTTCTCATTCCCCCTTCCACCTATTACATCTCACCCCTTCCCACCACTTTCTGTGTTAGGGGGATTTCTGGGGAATGCACACACAGTGAGAGGAGGATTAAGGGTTTTGTGTAACTTAAAGGATATAACTGACACCATTCATGATCTCCCTCTCATTAGGAAGTCCATGGTGTTGGAAAGAAACCCAATGTAAACTGAAGCTTCATTTATTTATACCTGCTGAGTAGGCTTATTGTTTTCAGAAACGTTCTTCAGAGTGATCTCAGCTGGCCTGTGAAAGACAGCCAGGGACATCCTCACCAAAAGTCTTTGGTTGATTACTATCAGCATATTTCCTGCTGTCCGAAGCATTACATTCAAAACCAACAGATACAGAATAGAAGTAATGAGTGTTAGGAATACTGTAAACATTTATTTGCATCACTCACACAGATCTATAATGTACATCCAGTTTACAAAGGAGAGGGAACACCCCTCTGACATGGGTAGTTAAGTTTGGCAATATATAAATGAAAGAGTAGGCGCTGAGAGTTCACATAAGTAAGTTATCACACTTGACACTCATCTAAAAAAATTAAGTTGGTCAAGAAACCCACAAATATATCTCAGTTAATGTTCTGTGGAAGGGGAGATCACCATACAGAATTAACATAAGCAGAAAATACCCTGTTTTAAAATAGGTTTTAAATTTAGTGCACATTTCCCATAGACTCCAAACTTAAAATATTTCCGTATATACAAAAGGTACAATAAAATGTTACAGTGTTTATTGCAACAAACTAAGGATGCCATAATATAGATCACTTGTATATACCCAACCCTGATATTGGCTTCTTATTCCTTCTGTACAGCCTTCTTTCGTTGCTCCACAATTGAAATATTCTCCCAAAAGGCACATGCTTATCTACAAAGAAAAAAAATTTTTTTTTAAGGAAACACCATTCGATTGAAATCTTTTAACAAAACAAAAAAACCCCAAATCTCCTCAACCCTGCACCCACTTGAAAGCAACAAGAGGATTTCATGTATATTATATATCCAGCATTTGACATACTTGATTCTTGCAATGACCCAAAAGCTGAGTTAAACTTCCCTCTACACGCACCAAAAAGCCCCTACCTTAGTCACCAAGCCACCACAAAAGAAAGAATGCACTGCAATTGAAATAAAAGCGAAGAGAAGGGGAAACGTGCATTTTGGCATGGACTGGTGGGGGGCTGTGACTGTTTTTCCTGTGGCTTCTAGGCTGGAGCTCCAAGCCCAGGGCCTCAAACCCCAAGACTCTCCCACCACAGCTGTGAATAGGAAGACTTCTCTTCAATTACAGTAGGGCTAGGGAACGTGTAGTCCCAACAATACGAAGTCCCATTACCCCTGACCATTGGACTTGCTGGCTGACACTGATGACAGTAGGAATCCAACAACATGGTGGCGGGGAGAGATGTCCAGGTTTCCCAGCCCTGACTAACAAGGTGGGGGATGACTTCATATAACAGACCAGTAGCACCTTTCACTCAATGGTACACATCTACTCCAGCCAATTAAGCTGACATGTTTGTGTTTTGAATAGTGGCCGTAACATTTTATGATGCAGAAGTTGCAAAATGCAATGCTTTTCGTTCTCTTATTTCTGACCTCAATCATCATGATTAGCAAGCTAGACATTGTCTTCTAATCCAATTTTTCTGATGATGATGATGATATTTAGTAGTACAGTGGTACCTTGGGTTAAGTACTTAATTCGTTCCGGAGGTCTGTTCTTAACCTGAAACTGTTCTTAACCTGAAGCACCACTTTAGCTAATGGGCCCTCCTGCTGCGCCGCCAGAGCATGATTTCTGGTCTCATCCTGAAGCAAAGTTCTTAACCCAAGGTAGTATTTCTTGGCTAGCAGAGTCTGTAACCTGAAGCGTATGGAACCCGAGGTACCACTGTAGTAGTAGTATTACTACTATAACCTGTTGTGCCACAGCTACTCTGGCAGCTTCCAACACATAAAAACATAATAAAACATCAAACATTAAGAACTACCTATAGAAGTGTATCTTACTGAGATACTGCATCCCATTTTACTCCCATTCCCCCCCCATCTTTTCTTGCCACCAAGCCACTGTCCTTTAAATCAATCTCTTTGCACCCCCTCTTGCAGCAAAAAACACAAGCTTTACAGTTCCATCCTGTCATGAAATCATAACTACCAGAGCAATAATATTCAGTCCACTCAGCAATTTATTTTTGGTACACAGTGCAATTTTGAGCATACTTTAGCTGCACAACACACAGCTAGCTATTACTTATAGGATGCAAGCAGTTCAATAAATAAAGGCATTATTGGATGTTAAGATATTGTTTAAGTATCTTTTAGAACCATCTCATAATGGCACTCAGGAGAAGAACTCAGTTTTCCAAGTATTTCTCTTACTTCAACATTTATATCCTTTCTGCACTCACAGCATAATGCTTCTGTGGACATTTACTTTCTTCATGTTTATAGGAAATAAAATAAGCTGCACTGTTTTTAACTGTTTGCTGCTGACACGACTCAAAGTAGTGCAGTTTTTGACCACATCGTGTTATAAAAAGGGACTTTAGGAGATGACTTGCACCACTTAGGAATGCTAATGATTAAGCAGTATATTAATGCCTTAAAGAGATAAGGGTTCCATTTGCTTCTGTGTTTTTAGATTTTGCAACACTGTAGATAACTTTATCAGCATAGCACTGAGAATTTCCAACTCAGGCAATGTCGTATTCATTACTTGTATATATATATTTGCAGCAAGGCGTAACATACTCTATGGATTACAAGCAGATAAGAGAAGTCTGTTTGTAACCTTGCTCAGACAGCTTTCAAATCTGTCATTGTGACCAATGTTGCATACATTTTGGAAGCATAAGAATATACAAACAGCCATTTATAAGGTTGCTTCACAACAGTTAAACATAGTTATTAGTACTCAAGACATATACAATGTAATTCAGGAGCTTCTTTTTCACTTACTGACTTAGTAAACCAGTACCTGGGATTTGCAGGCTGAAAGCAGAGGCTTCCATGACAATGATCCTGTAACCAATGCTATTTCAGCCCCAAAAATGGCTTGTCAGGGAGAAGGCAAGGAAAGAACCCTTCTTCCTACACCTAGTTTTATTCAGAGGGGGGATATTTTGGTATAGAGGAGCAGGGAACACCTAGGTGCAATGGGACAGGTGTAAATTTGCCATAACAATGAGAACAAATATTAAAAAGAAAAAGGGGGGGAAATCCTTGTTTTGAAATAAGCACTGTCTTGGTGGATACCTGAATGTGAGCCTAGGGCAGTTGCTACAAAGAGGTCTCACTCCAGCTATTCTTACAAGGCAGAACAGGCCAAGAGTCAGTCCCCTCTAATAATTAATAACCACGCTAATTATTTTAAAGATCTGGATGTGTTGAATCAAGATATGCAGTATTCTTCAGGAGATTGGGGAAAACATTCCAGCACCCAGTAACTGGGTAGCAGAGTTACATGATGGCTGCTTCTCTGCTACAAAGCATTCATGGGAGAAGATCCAAACAGGGAAATTGGTGAGAGCTGTGCGTGCTTTCCTTTGGCTTAATTCATACCTAGAGTTGTTTTTCCATTGTGAGGTTTCAGGCACATGCTTGCAAGTTGAAGCAGCTCAGGGATGTGAGTTTCAGGGAAAGGGTAGCTTCTGGAAGATGTGATACACATCTCCTTCCCAACATTTCTCATTGCACTTTACAACCCCCAGAGGATGCTTTGCAATGGAGAAATAGTGGCTGTTATGGCTAGTGTTACTGTAGCATGTCAGGATTCCTGAACTTGGAATTGGCATGACTAATATACAGCAAGGGTATGAAAATTTCAATATATGCAAGGGTAAAACACAAATTAAACAATCAAAACAGAACAGCACATACTCGGTTTGAAAAAAATATATCTTGGAAAATATAGTCTGTAAGCTTTGGGGCAGATTCCATGATGGAACTGTTTCTAAACCTGAAGCAGCCAAGCAACCTCAATTTTTTTTATAAAAGCAGAGGGAACCATGAATTCTAATAATGTTTATGAAGTACTTTGCAAAATTAGGAAATGAGACAGCATGTATAAGAACTAATGGGGAAATAGGGCATTCAAGCAAGTTAGCTATATTCCAGAGAGAGACTTGGAAAAGATTGCCCAATTTTGTTGAGAAAACAAAAGCCAAAGCACAGCCGTAAAAGTGCAATTATCTTACTGTGCTTTCCCATGGGAAATGAGCTGTATTCATATCAACAATGAACAACTGATTGTTGCTATTCCTCTAATATTGAGTATATTTCACTCAATTTCCCCCATTTTAGCATACAGAACTGTATTACAAGTAATTATCAACTAGAAGTGCATCTATCTAAACTGCGTTGTTTTTGTTTTAAAAAGAAGTTGTTTCTGTATCTCAAGACATATACACAAAAATAACAACCATGCACTAGCTCAAAGATTTAGATTTAGACAGAATCTCATTTTTGCCTTCCTGTGCAATTTTAGTAGAGCTGGCCAAAAAATGTTGGTAGGCTAAGAAGCTGATCCTTTCTCAAATCAAATAGTCTTATTTGAAGCTATGGCCTTAACTGCTAAATAAATAAACAAACTCAAGTAAAGGTACAATTTGCCATGAAGCTCTCCAGTCTACGGCAATATCCACTGACACAACAAACACAACTCCAATTCTGCCCAACACCTTAATACTGAAAATAATGGCATCCAACTAGACAAAAACTGTATGCTAGAGGCCAGTTTGTAGTGTTCTATGTTTTACTTGCTTTTTAAGGCAAACTAATTTTTAATTCTGCTGATTGGGAGTGACTCACTTTTTAAGAATTTTGTTAATATTTTAAATTTACATGTCTTCTGTATAAAAGACATGAGAAAGCTGCTGACATTTGTCTAATAAAAGAATTATCTCAAATATCACTGGAGATGGGAGTGTCAACACAGCTTTACATCTACAGTGGTACCTCAGGTTACATACACTTCAGGTTAGATACGCTTCAGGTTACAGACTCCGCTAACCCACAAATAGTGCTTCAGGTTAAGAACTTTGCTTCAGGATGAGAACAGAAATCGTGCTCCGGCGGCGCGGCAGCAACAGGAGGCCCCATTAGCTAAAGTGGTGCTTCAGGTTAAGAACAGTTTCAGGTTAAGAACGGGCCTCCGGAACAAATTAAGTAGTACTTAAGGTACCACTGTACATTTGAAAACTAGGTTGTTACAAGTGAAATCCCATGCCACAATAAATCCAATTAGTCTACAACACACAAGGAAGACCTGTGCCACCTAAGAGACTAACACAGCTACTATTTAGGAAATGAAATACTACCAAGAATATCATGTAAGGATAGAATCCTTAATTAATTAGACATTGCCATTATTTCTGGAGTATAATAGCTTACAGAAAGCCTGGTATGCGTTACGACTTTATAAGAACAGGGACATAAAAAATAGGCAATTTAAGTATTTAAATAAATCAAATGCCCATAGCACTAAAACAGCACCATGTAAAGTATGCTACAGAACAATGAATACAAACGACTCATTCCTAAATTAAAAGTCACAGATCTAAGATTCTCATCCATAAGTTTGGGGATAACTATTTCCCTCATGTCTGATGTTGGCAATTTGGGCAAGGGAGGCTGCATGCAAGTAGGTTTGGCAACTGTGCTTGGAATGCCCCAAGACAATATTACACAGATGTACCGTGCCTTCCTTAAAAGAACAACCAGTGCCTCTGGTCACAGAGGCATTTTTATATCTTGTTCAAAACATCCACTTCATCCATGGATGAAGAATGAAATACATCACGCTTGGTTTCCAGTCATATACAGTGGTACCTCGGGTTACATATGCTCTGCTAACCCAGAAATAGTGCTTCAGGTTAAGAACTTTGCTTCAGGATAAGAACAGAAATTGGGCTCCGGCGGCGCGGTAGCAGCAGGAGGCCCCATTAGCTAAAGTGGTGCTTCAGGTTAAGAACAGTTTCAGGTAAGTACTTAACCCGAGGTACCACTGTACCTCGGAATCCGTTCCCTCTTACAACACGGAGAACATCCTAAACTCTGTCTACCAACCTTCGAGGATGATTGGCATCAAAGAGTGTTGTGTCGTCGTCGTCATCATCTTGTTCCAATGGTGTCAGCTCTGTATTTTCTATGTTTGTGTCCAGAACCCCATACCTCCTCGTCTTTCTGTTTCTTCGTCGAAGTCTGAAAAGTGTGAAAGGTTAAAATTTATTAACTGAATCAGACCAATAACAACAGAATTAAAATATCGCTCTGAAGGAAAACTTAAGAAATACTAACATGAATTCAAGTGTACTAACAACCATCTGTATAAGCAATGCATTATTGTAATCCACATGCGTAAGCAGGACGCCCAATTCGACAGTCAAGCACTGAAAAACTATTGATTTGTATAATGTGATTGCACAATTTTAGCTTGCTTCAAAGAAAATTCAGCTTAATTTAGCAAACAGTATGAATAATCCTGCATTTTATCTTGCCAGATCTTACTCCCTTAACTGTCCAAAAAAGAAACAGGAAGGGATGTGCTCTTCCATTTTTGAATAAGAAAACACACACACTCACAAAACACTTCTCAATTTCAAGCCAGAAGCTCCCAAGGCACAAGTACAGTGGTATCTCAGGGTTACAGACGCTTCAGGTTACAGACGCTTCAGGTTACAGACTCTGCTAACCCAGAAATAGTACCTTGGGTTAAGAACGTTGCTTCAGGATGAGAACAGAAATCGTGCAGCGGCGGCAGCGGGAGGCCCCATTAGCTAAAGTACCTCAGGTTAAGAACAGTTTCAGGTTAAGAATGGACCTCCAGAACGAATTAAGTTCTTAAACTGAGGTACCACTGTACCAGAATATCATATTGTAATTTTGGGGAAATAATACAATATTGCTACTTTAACACTCAGCCAATGTAGCTATTGACATGTGCCCAATATGTTTCACATGTTGGTCTTTGAGTATTTTTTATGTAGCCAGAACAACATCTATGCACAAGAGAGAGGTATCAGATGTTTCTGGGGAACCCCAAGTTTTGAATGTGAAAAAAGCCCTTGGGGGCGGAGAAGCCCAAGTGGAAGAAGACAAAAATAGTCTAGTGAGGACTGGGGATGTTGACAAAGAATGATGAGGCCATTGGATCAGAGTGGAACAGAACAGAATATTGTGAAGATAACTGAAAAGGTGAAGAACAGCAGGACCTAGTTCTATGACCCTGTGATGGAGCTGTAAGACTGCAAACAGGTCAAAGTTTATTTGATTTGATCTATTTTACAGAAGCTTAATCATACTCAGATGTTGCAGTCTATACCAAAGATCTTACTTAAGCCACTAAATCAAAGGGAACAAAATTCACTGAAAACTTGTCTGAAGAAATTCCAGTAAAATGCCAACTGTCAAGGAATTGCACAATCATGTGCTTGGTGCTGCCACCTTATGGTAGGGCACTGTCAAAATAATTTCCTGATTGATTTCTTAGCATATAAATGCTGCAATCCGATGCACACTTACTTGGGAACAAGTTAAAACAAACTTTCATTTTGTTCTCATTCAGAAGTTCCATGCTACAAGTATGCTGGGTGTTTTATGATTCTAATCACATCCATATTCAACAACCAAGTGAGGCAGGATTTTGTTCTCACTTAACAAATTACAGGACCTAAAGAGAGTTACTAGTCCAAGGCTGCCAAAACAAATCTTAGCTAAAGATGAATCGGATGAGGGGATCATTTGCCAAAATGCAAACTATAATGTTATTGCAAAGCTGTTAAAGAACAAGATGAAGGACTGTGTTGCTTGTTTTTCACTAAATACAGTCTTATGCAACAGCCTTAATTTCACAGTGAACAATATATGACAAATGGTGCAAGGCAGGCTTAAACTTTTTATTATGTAAGAATGTAAGGCCAGATGTCAAACACAGTTCAACAATTTGGTCAGAAACTATCTCTATATGCTTTTCACAAATAGGATGATTGTGAGAAAATCTGTAATTTAAATGTATCATTATAAGTCTGATGACAATCAAATGCAGAACAGGAGTTTAAGCATTTATGAAACTCATTCTGATGAAATGCATGCATTACACAAACGAACATTTTAAGAATACATTTGCCTGAGTTATGTGAAGAAAATGTAACTTCTCTCTAATGTATTTTTTGTTCTTGAAGCACGGTTTATGGTTTTCTTATCCCCTTTCTATTTTTCCTGTTATATTTTATGTATTAATTTTTATTCTGTAAGCAAAGTTCAAACAAAGGGCAGTCAATTAATACCTATAATAAAATAAACCAACATTTTCAACAGATCCTTTTGGAATGCTAAGAGACAGGACATGAAATTGACAGCTCTCACCGACACCCGTATGTTGCATGTTATCAGCATGTTGTTCACAGGTATACTGCTGCTGATTGTGGAAACTCTACTTAACCCTATCAGGACTAACACTTGTGGATAGATGTATTCTCCATGAACTTGTCTAATCCCCTTAAGAGCAAAGTCAGGTACTATAATCACGTAGTGTAGCCGTGAATTTACTAAGTAAATTCTACATGGTTTAGAAAAAGAAGGTGCGGGGGTGGGAGTGGGGAGAGAGAATTCATAAGGTTGAAAAATCAATACATAATTTCATAATGTGTTGTCACACCATCCTTCTGAAGGCCATTGCTAAAGATAAGCAGGCCTGGGTCTGGTCACTGCTTTGAGGGGTGAATTACTGGGAACTACATATACCCTGCCTTTAGCTCCATAACATAAGGAAGGTAGGATACAGTAACAATATAAGATCTAATCAAAATAAATTTTAAATACACTGGTAAACCTGCACATGCACATGGGCTCTACCATTTCAGACATTATTATTATTATTATTATTATTATTATTCCAACTGTAGGTGGATTTGCATGATTGAATGGTTGTTAGCAAAAATAAATAAATGCATATACATCACACAAACACACATGCATGCATGCATATACATTTATATACAAAGGAAGTTAGGCTACAAAGTGCCCTGCTTTTCTATATGAAGGAGTCAATAAAGTTTGCACCGACTTGGCAGCCAAGCCAAAATCTGTGGTCATCGGACTCTTCCTTCAGTGCATGTTTTCTCAGAAGTTACTCCCATTGAGCTCAATATGGCTTAGATCCATGAACCATGTTGCAGTCAGGTTGGGAGGCTATTGAGGAGACGTAGGACCTGTTGCCACTGGGCAGCTGAGGTACACAGAATGCCAGCCATCACTCAAATGGCCCCTCCAACCCTTCCTCTCCAGAACACGGGAAAGGATGGGATTTGGTTTGGTTTGGGTGCGGAGTGCCTGGCTGCTCACTGTCCAAACAATCAACTCCAACCTTCCTCTCAAGTTGGAAGCTGCATCAGGGCAAGTACCTGTGTTGTGCCTCCAACATGCAGTGTAACTAAGCGGTTGGGCATCACAATGCTCCCTTCTAACTCCAAATTGCAAGGCAAAGATGGAGTTTAATCATGCTCACCAGATAGCAGTGGAAGTGTGTGTGGAGCATGACCAGAAACTAAGGCCAGATCCTGAGCATGTTCAGCTCAGTCACATGACTCAGCAACCCAGCTTCAGACTATTTTAAAGGCTTATGCAGAGCTATGCTACTGAGTGCAGCTTGGATCTGGGGTAACATTTTGTGGCTTAACTAACACCAGCATCTTGTGCATATAGATTACCCTCTAGGTTGTTTTCTTCTTCAAAACATAGAAGCTGCTTCAAATCCTTGATATTTTGGTTGCCCTTCTATGCATTTTTCCCAGATGCATACAACACCCCAAAGAAAGTCACACAATACCACAAAACAAATTAGTTCCCACACAGGACTGGATTACAGAGAGGTGTTTGTTTCATGGCTTTAAAAGCCCACTGCTTACTTGTTTTAGATACATTGACTCAGGAAAAGGTTCAGTTTTTTATATAGATCTACCTGCATACTGAATATGTTAATCCAACACAAGTACTGCTAGTTTCTCGGGGTTTGTGCCACAGGCTCCCCAGTCGCCAGCCTTGAGTCTACAGTGGAACTCTGCTAGTTACGACTTCTCTCTCCAGTCTTGTTTAAATACAAAATGATCATTATTCTAATCAGCTGTCCCTTTCACTGGGTGCAAAAGCTGCCCAGATCACATGCAGAAACTACCTTCCAGAAACACATATGATAGAACTTAAGATAAGGAGTGCTAGGCTTGAATCAGGTACACCAGTGACACGTGCTCTATCAGATACGCCAAGGTAAACAAGGACCAGGGGAACACACGACAGCCTAAAGGGGATGTTTCGCAGGTGTGTAATAAGAGAGGGCCATGGGTCACAGAACTGAAGAGTTGGAAGGGACCCCCTGGGTCATCTAGTCCAACCCCCTGCAGCGCAGGAATCTCAGCTAAAGCATCTGAGACAGATCCTAACTCTGCTTTAAAATCTCCAATGAAGGAGAGACCACAGCCTCCCGAGGGAGACTGTTCCACTGTCAAACAGCTCAAAGTTTTCTCTAGTGTTTAGTCAGAACCTCCTTCCTTGTAACTTGAAGCCACTGGCTCGCATCCTACCCTCTAGAGCAGGAGAAAGGGGGAAAAAGCTTGCTCTCTCTCCCACGTGAAAGACCTTGAGATGGCAATCATATCTCCCCCATGCATATTCCTGCATTGCGGGGGTGAGGTTGGACTAGATGACAGTCCCTTCCGTGATTCAAAGTGTTGGTGCTGACCTTTAAAGCCCTAAACAGTCTCGACCTAGTATACCTGAAGGAGTGTCTCCACCCCCATCGTTCAGCCCGGACACTGAGGTCCAGCTCCGAGGGCCTTTTGGTGGTTCCCTCCCTGCAAGATGTGAGGTTACAGGGAACTGAGCAGAGGGCCTTCTCAGTAGTGGAACCCTTCAGATATCAAGGATATAAACAACTATCTGACTTTTGGAAGACATCTGAAAGCAGCACTGTTTAGGGAAGTTTTTAATGTTTGATGTCTTATCTTGTTTTTAATATTGTGCTGGGGGCCGCCCATAGTGCCTGGAGAAACCCAGACAGAAAGGTGGGGTATAAATAAATAATTATTACTACTATCATTATTAGAAACTTCTTTCTTGTAACTTGAAGCCACCCTCCAGAGCAGGAGAAAATGAAGCTTGCTCCCTCCTCTCCAACGTGGAAGACCTCGAGATGGCTATCATTGCAAGCAGGGTTGGACTAGATGACTTCTCGGGGTCCCTTCCGTGATTCTAAGATGCAACAGGGCTGAGAAAGGGAGAGGCCACCCTAGCCAGCCTCCCTCCCCTTCTTCTTGGAGGGGGGAGGGGGACGGGACACCCCTCAGACTCTGTTTCCCCCAAAGCCAAGTGGAAACGAGGAGGGGGAGATCCCCAAACCCTTCCGAGATCGACCGATTGATCCGATCGCTGGGTTGACAGATTACAGGGGTCCCTCCTGCTGCCCCAGGCTCACCGCACGGTCCGGATGACGAAGTAGACGATGAGCGCGGCGCTGGCCAGGACCAGGACCGAGAGGGCGCGCTGGGTCATGAGCTGGTTGCGCTCAGGCGGGGCGGGCACGGCGGCGGCCACGCTGCCCACCCCACTCGCATTGCTGCTCCGCGCCGCCTCGCCCGCGGGGGAACCGCTGCTGCTGCCCAGGGCGGGCGCGGCGTCGTGGCCGCCGGGCGCCGCGGAGGCAGAGGACGACGACGGCGCCGCCGGCGGAGGCGAGGGAGGCGGCGGCCTCAGGACCCCCTGAGCCGGGAGCGCTTCCCCGCCCCACAGCCCGGCCAGCAGCAGGAGGAGCAGCAGCCCCGGCCACAGCCGCCGCATGGCAGCCCGTCCAACCGTGCGCCCGCTGGGCGCGGCCTAAGCGCCGCCGCGGGGCCTGTCAGGAGAGCAGGAAGCAGGAGCGGAAGTCCTCATCTTTCCCCTCACACGGCGCGGCCATGGAAGTCTCCCGGCCGAGACTCCCGCCCTCGCGCCTCAGGCGGCCTACTCCCACGTGACCAAATGGGCCGGTTATTCGTGCGCAGGCGCAACAAGGGCCCTCGGTCTCGCCTTTCGCCCGGGATGCTCGGTGGAGGAAAGAGGAAGGAGAGGCGGTTTTTTATCTTGTCATGTCTAGCAGCCAAAGAGCCCCACCTGTAAGAGGGGCCAGGGATGGGGTTTTCGGGGACCCAGACAAAACTCAAATGCCTCCCCCGGGGACACAAGGCCACTCGGTTGGTTGTTTGTTTTAAAAAGAGCAATCCCCCCGCCCCCAAGTATTGCTCCCTGTTTGCAGGTGGGGGATGCCAGATCCTTAGAGATCCTTAGCCAAATCCGACAAGTTCCTATCGACGCCCATGGCAAGTCTAGGTTGGTACACAACTTGTTCATGAGTAGCCAGTTTGTACATATGATTTAACGATATTTGGAATTTATGTTTATAAATACTGTATTAGGTTTAATGACAAACAAAAGTGAAATTCTGACAATATTTTATATTGCCTGTATATATATAGGACCATATATATTGGCCATATATATATATATTCTTAATGATATACAGTGGTACCTCGCAAGACGAATGCCTCGCAAGACGAATGCCTCGCAAGACGAAAGAGTTTTTCGTTTTTTGAATTGCTTCACAAGACGAATTTCCCTATGGGCTTGCTTCGCAAGACGAAAACGTCTTGCAAGTTTGTTTCCTTTTTCTTAAAACCGTTAATACCCAGGGTGCATTGCTTCACAAGATGAAAAATTCGCAAGACGAAAAAACTCGCAGAACGAATTAATTTCGTCTTGCGAGGCACCACTGTATATATACACACACATATACACGTGTGTGTGTATATATATATATATACTATTGACACCAACTGTTTTTGTCAGCTGGTATTTCTACCTGAAGAGCAAACAGACAGGAAGAAAGGAGCGACTTCTGCAACCATAGGAAAGTGGCCGCCCAGAGCGCCTTTCCTTCGGCACAAATGCATAGCGCAAACTCGTCTCCTGACACCCAGGATTCAGGGCCAAGCTCCAGGCACAGGCCGCCATAAACCAGTTTGCACTCTTGTTCACCTAGGCCCATATTTCCTGTTCCAGCAGCGGCTCTCATAGGAACACTGGAAATTGCCTTACACAAAGGCGGACCATTGGCCCAGCTGGCTCAGTGTTGTTTACACTGACTGGCAGTGTTTCTTCATGGTTCCTAACTTGCGCACAAAACACCTCCCCCTTCAGCTCTTTGCTCATCCAGTGAAAGATCTGATGATGTCTACGTGTCTACATGTCTACAACATGTCTACGTTGTTGTTGTTGTTGTTGTTGTTGTTGTATGCCACCCCAATCTCCAAGCAGTGCAAGATTCAAGGAGTTCCAGGTGCTCATCCCGGGTCTGAGTTTCCATTTGGAAAGGAGACTGTTATGTACTGAGTTGAATAGGATCCAAACTGCAGCAGTCTGATTGGTCCTAGAACAATAGGATCCAAATTGCAGCAGTCTGATTGGTCCTAGAACAATAGGATCCAAATTGCAGCAGTCTGATTGGTCCTAGAACAATAGGATTCAGAATGCAGCAGTCTGATTGGTCCTAGAACAGTGCAGCAGTATGATTGGTTGGCAGGAACCACTCAATCATGCTCCAGATATAAGTGAATCCACAACCTGATTGGCTTACAGTAGAATTCCAGAATTAGCCAATCATGTGCAACCCATTGTGTAAATAATGTATATAAAGCAGATACTTTGAGGAGACATTCATTCATTCCTCCTCACCACTATGAGCTGAATAAAGAGCATGAAATCACTTTGCGCCTCTGAGTATATTTCAGAGACACAGCAAAGATTGGAGTCTATAGGATATATGACTTAGTTTACAGACGTATCTAATCTGAGTTTACGATGGAGCCTCAGCATCCCAAAAGGGTTTTGCTTCTCCCATAGCCACAGCCTTGGATTCAAGCAGAAATCAGTCATGGTTTTTTCCTGGCCTTTTCAGCCTGCAGCTTTTTCCTCTAAGTCTAAGTTCAGGCTTTGTCCTACTAACTATATAAGTGAGGGAGCCCCCCCCCCCCATGTTGATGTAATTTTGCCATCAGCATGGTGTCATTTTTCACCATGAGAAGGTGGTGTTGGTGTTGGAGTTATACCACCTTGGGCAGCAGTTAGAAATTGGCCAGATTTTGCTTCATAATTCTACAAATTTATCAGTATTCCTCAACATGTACATGACACTGTTTTATCCACACTCCTCTTGGCAGTCACATAATACACCTTTTTCTTATGATGTGCTGATGACATTATTTATACTGCTCTATTTAAAGCATATAGAATTGGGCTATTAGTTACAGACTACTGTGCCAAATGGATGCTGATTTTTACCCCGTAAAACTAGTCCCATCAATTATAATGTTTTATGGTTGGAGTGTTGTGCATGTTTTAGAACTTTTATCTTTCCAGTTTCATATTTGCATTTGTGTTATTCAGCAAAAATAGGGTGTGCTGTTTGCTGCTTGTTTGTTAGGTTTTTATATAGATTTATATATTTTATATATTTTGACCATATAGTCAAAATAAATTGCAATTGTTTGTCATACAGTGTTTCAGGAAAAAACAGTTGGACTATCCATGCTTACTTGAAAACTAAGTTCCATTGTGTTCAGTGGAATCACTCTCTCAAGTAAGTGTTCGAAGGACAACAGTGTGAATGTAGTGTGTGAGCCTTGGACTTTTGAGACCTATGCCCCATCTGTAATATACATTTAAAGCTGTATTATTCGACTTTAAACAGTCAAGACTTCCCCCAAAGAATCACCTGGAACTACAATTCTCAGAGTGGTTTAACAGTCAATCCCTCTTCCCTGGGAATTCTGATAATTGTTTCTCTGTGTAGCGAATGGGGATCTCTTAGCAATACTCAGCACCCTTAACATCAAACTGCATTTTGGGGGAAGTCATGACTGTTCTCTTTAATTTCAAAAGTAAATCAGTTTCTAACAACAAAAGGAGAGAGCAAAATCTTGATCTGAGGCCCCATCTGCACTATGCATTTAAAGCAGTATCACACCACTTCAAATGCATAATGCAGATGGGGCCTCAGATCAAGATTTTGCTCTCTCTTTTTGTTGTTAGAAACTGATTTACTTTTGAAATTAAAGAGAACAGAATGGAATATACAGAAATGGAGGCTTTCAGCAGTCACTGGAATTTAGTGTTTATTAAAAAGGCTGTCTGGCACTCTATGTCTGCCACTCTCCTTCACTTACAATGGAAGCTGTGGTCCATTTCAAATGTTTTACATGACAAAAAGGAGACAGATCTTGAATTTCGGTAAACTGCACTGAAGCTGCTAAATAATGTATTAAAATTAAGAATTTACTTGACGGTTACTGTGGAGAAAAAGATTTTTCCCCAGTTCCCAAAATAGTTATTGTAGGTGAATGGTGAGAATTTACATGACAGTTCATTAGTTGTAGGTTACATTTGTCTGCCTGGGCAGGAAGATTTTTATCTGTATATTAAGCAGGATCCTGGAGAAGAAGGGCACTTAAGAACTCTGAAAATAATGTGTTTCTCAGTTCTTTTTTTATCAGCTGAACCAAAACTTTACTCTGAGCTATTTTAGACCAGGAGGCATCAAAATGGAAAGGTCTGTCTTTGCCTCTCAGACTTCAGCCACAAAGCATAGTGGCTTCCACTGGATGAAGCTAACTGCCTTGTTTCCAAGAATGGCCAGCCGCATGCACTTGGAAACTCATAAGGAAACCATCATGTTGCCCCATCCCATAGCCATTCCATTGCCAATAGTGGATGTGTTCTCCATTTTCCCCTTCCCTTTTAGCTTGAGCTGTGCAGCCAAATCCTATGCATGCTTAATTATAACACAAGCACTGAGTTCAAATAAACTCCTTTACAAGAAAGTGTGTTTATGGTTGTCTCCATTTCCTAGGTAGTACTTAACCCCCAACTCACAGAACTGTTTTAGGTTCACCATTTTTTAAAGTATAAAAACCATACTTTATACACCTAATCTGAAGCTTATAATTGGAAGAAGACCACTGATAGCTTTCTCTTTTCCACAGTGGCCAAGAAAATGTTCCTGGGAAGCCCATAAGTGAATATGAAGAGAACAGCCCTCTCCTGCTTCCAGCTGCCAGCAAATGGTATTTGAATCTGGAGATTCTGTAAAAAACAAAACAAAAAACACCTAGTGGTTAATGGGCAATGGTTGAAGAGTGTAACAACTCCTGCATAGATTCATCAAATTATAGAGTTGGAAGAGACCAACTTCAGTTATTGTTTAATATTAAAAAGGAAACTAAGAAGCTTATAATGCACAAATACTACATGGTGCATCTTTCTTAAACAAAACTGGAATAAATAAGATTTGGGGTGGCATTCAACTAACTTTTACTCGGAGCAGATCCACTGAAATTAGTGAACATGGCTAAGTTAGGCCCATTAATTTCAGTTGGTGTAGTTTAAGTAAAGGTTGGTTGAATAGCTGTTAGATATTTAGAAGTGAGGACCAATAGTCACTGATCATTGAACTGCATTGTGTTGGTGGATTTGGAAAGCCTAGGTTCAAATGGTTGTTCAACAGTGACACACCCTGTATTGCTTTGGCCAAGTCATGCTGTCTCACACACAGTTGTTGTGCAGGCAAGAACTGTGAATCAAGCTGTACTGAAAACTGCTATAGAAATGGATAAATAATAATTGTAATGGGAGTACTCATGGTTTGATCTCAAGATGAAACTGCTGGGAGGGCTTACAGTGAAATGTGATTAATATGGATTTTGCGATAAGCCTGCAGCAGTGAGTGCAGAATTATGATTATGATATAATATTAGCGCTTGGAAGTAAGAGGAAGAACGAAATAATATATATGAGTCGCAAGTGAATGTTGCTAAGTTCAGGCTCCCAAGCCTACTATATTTGCTCAAAAGGACCAAAAAGACAATGAATAGGTGTAAACTTTAGAGTACAAACATAATTTATCCAATTGCC